CCCAGGCCCGCTGGTCTCCCAGTGGCACTCTCTGCCCAAGGGCACGAGGACTTTCCCCGCAGCTTTGTGAGGAGCAAGCTCCTTGTCTGTGTGCTGCGTGGCCATGCTTCCTCTGCCCCCAAAAGATTTGCTCCAGCCAAGTAGGCCATCCATCCTCTGCAGTCTGATTGAAGCGTAACCATTCTGCCACCCGCAAACCATCTTTCCCTGCCGCATGTTGCTCGCAGAGACCCAAAGGTTCAACATATGCATCGCATCACCTGATCCTGCAGGACCCTTACAACCCATCTGAAACAGTAAACTGCATATAGACACCCGACAAGCCAGGCAATTCCAAAAGGGGCCATCAGGAGAGTGAGCCTCGTTCAGTTGGCGCTGCAAAAACTATGCTCATGGCATAACTTTGCTGCTGCAAGCGGCCAGTGCTCAGGATCCACACCTCTGCAAAAAGCTTCGCTGTAAGCTCCTGAACCCAGGCCTGCTGGTCTCCCAGTGGCACTCTCTGCCCAAGGGCACGAGGACTGTCCCCGCAGCTTTGTGAGGAGCAAGCTCCTTGTCTGTGTGCTGCGTGGCCATGCTTCCTCTGCCCCCAAAAGAACTGCTCCAGCCAAGTAGGCAATCCACTGCAGTCTGATTGAAGCGCAACCATGCTGCCAGTCCACAAAACCATCTTTCCCTGCCGCATGTTGCTCGCAGCGACCCAAGGTTTCAACATATGCACCGCATCATCTGATCCTGCAGGACCCTTACAACCCATCCGAAGCAGTAAACTGCATGTAGATATTTGACAAGCCGGGCAATTCCAAAAGGGGGCATCAGGAGAGTGAGCCTCGTTCAGTTGGCGTTGCAAAAACGCTCATGGCATAACTTTGCTGCTGCAAGTGGCCAGTGCTCAGGATCCACACCTCTGCAAAAAGCTTCGCTGTAAGCTCCTGAACCCAGGCCTGCTGGTCTCCCAGTGGCATCTCTCTGCCCAAGGGCACGAGGACTTTCCCCGCAGCTTTGTGAGGAGCAAGCTCCTTGTCTGTGTGCTGCGTGGCCATGCTTCCTCTGCCCCCAAAAGACCTGCTCCAGCCAAGTAGGACAGCCACTGCAGTCTGATTGAAGTGTAACCATGCTGCCAGTCGCAAAACCATCTTGCCCTGCCGCATGTTGCTCACAGCGACCCAGAGTTTCAACATATGCACCGCATCATCTGATCCTGCAGGACGCTTACAACCCATCTGAAGCAGTAAACTGCATATAGACACCCGACAAGCCAGGCAATTCCAAAAGGGGGCATCAGGAGAGTGAGCCTCGTTCAGTTGGCGTTGCAAAAACGCTCATGGCATAACTTTGCTGGTGCAAGTTGCCAGTGCTCAGGATCCACACCTCTGCAACAAGCTTCGCTGTAAGCTCCTGAACCCAGGCCTGCTGGTCTCCCAGTGGCACTCTCTGCCCAAGGGCACGAGGACTTTCCCCGCAGCTTTGTGAGGAGCAAACTCCTTGTCTGTGTGCTGCGTGGCCATGCCTCCTCTGCCCCCAAAAGAACTGCTCCAGCCAAGTAGGCCATCCACTGCAGTCTGAATTGAAGCGCAACCATGCTGCCGCAAAACCATCTTTCCCCGCCGCATGTTGCTTACAGCGACCCAGAGTTTCAACATATGCACCGCATCATCTGATCCTGCAGGACCCTTACAACCCATCTGAAGCAGTAAACTGCATGTAGACACCCGACAAGCCAGGCAATTCCAAAAGGGGGCATCAGGAGAGTGAGCCTCGTTCAGTTGGCGTTGCAAAAACGCTCATGGCATAACTTTGCTGCTGCAAGCGGCCAGTGCTCAGGATCCACACCTCTGCAAGAAGCTTCGCTGTAAGCTCCTGAACCCAGGCCTGCTGGTCTCCCAGTGGCACTCTCTGCCCAAGGGCACGAGGACTTTCCCCGCAGCTTTGTGAGGAGCAAGCTCCTTGTCTGTGTGCTGCGTGGCCATGCTTCCTCTGCCCCCAAAAGAATTGCTCCAGCCAAGTAGGCCATCCACTGCAGTCTGATTGAAGCGTAACCATGCTGCCAGTCCACAAACCATCTTTCCCTGCCGCATGTTGCTTACAGCGACCCAGAGTTTCAAAATATGCACCGCATCATCTGATCCTGCAGGACCCTTACAACCAACCCATCTGAAGCAGTAAACTGCATATAGACACCCGACAAGCCAGGCAATTCCAAAAGGGGGCATCAGGAGAGTGAGCCTCGTTCAGTTGGCGTTGCAAAAACGCTCATGGCATAACTTTGCTGCTGCAAGTGGCCAGTGCTCAGGAACCACACCTCTGCAACAAGCTTCGCTGTAAGCTCCTGAACCCAGGCCTGCTGGTCTCCCAGTGGCACTCTCTGCCCAAGGGCACGAGGACTTTCCCCACAGCTTTGTGAGGAGCAAGCTCCTTGTCTGTGTGCTGCGTGGCCATGCTTCCTCCGCCCCCAAAAGAACTGCTCCAGCCAAGTAGGCCATCCACTGCAGTCTGATTGAAGCGTAACCATGCTGCCAGTCGCAAAACCATCTTTCCCTGCCGCATCTTGCTCACAGCGACCCAGAGTTTCAACCTATGCACCGCATCTGATCCTGCAGGACCCTTACAACCCATCTGAAGCAGTAAACTGCATGTAGACACCCGACAAGCCAGGGCATTCCAAAAGGGGGCATCAGGAGAGCTCCTGCCTCGTCCGGGTTCAACTGTAAGGCTCCTGGAGTTGGCCCCTGGCTGCTCCGCGGCGCATCGTGCACGCCCCGAGACCCAAGACAGACAGCGGTGCGGCCGACAAGGGTCATTAAAGGAACCCTGATCTATACACATGCTTAGTCATTCATGATCTTATCCTATATATATATAGATATATCATAAACTTTGCTCTGCGGGTGCTTGAACTTCCTTTACTACCAAAAGATAGGGTCGGTACCCAAGGGTCAAGGGGCCAGGGGGGTGCCTTCGATGCGTTCTGGGCGCTTGTCGCTCGCTCTGAGCCGAAACGAGCAGCTGCAGTGGGACTTCGGGGCCGGAAGCGAGGCGTGAGTCGCTCGGGTCGAGTTTGCTATCGAAACTTTGGCATCCATTCGCCGAAGGAAAACGCGCAAAGATGTCGGATGGGCTTGGGTGTCAAATCGGATTGGAGGCCGAAAAATGGCTGTGGTTTCGAAAGGGAACCAATGGCAAAGATCCGGAAGATCACAGTCATGGCGCCTTTTTGTCCAACCCTCTGGGCTGCTCAGGCTGCACAGTTTCACAAACCTCATTCTCCAAACAAAACCGCACAAGCCGCACGCGCACACAGAGCTGCAATTTGTGGTGTGCAACGGACACGTGTCAAACCATGGAAACCAACGGGCTGGCCATCTGGAAGGTCCCGGAAATTGGGGAACCGAAAGTCAGGGACAACCCTCTCGCTATACTCTTCTTTGTGCTTGGTCAGCTTCAAGGCGAAACCCCGAAAACAACAAGGAAGGGCGAAACTCAGCTTCTTGCTGGCGCTAAAGCAGAAAAAGGGTCCGCCATTCCTACACGGTTACACTTGTTGAGGTGGTTTCCAACAAACAACAGGAACGCCGGCCCCGTTTTGCCCCCCCTTGTTTGAGACAAACCCAACACACCCAACGGTAAAGCTCGGAGAAGAAAACAAAACAAACAAAACACACACACACCAAAATAAAGAAAGGAAGAAGAAACAACACTGCTCCCCCTCTTAGTTCGTTCAAATCAACCCCCCCCAGACTCCAAACCTCCTCCCCAGGCTCCCCGGCTCCACGCGCCGGATCTCGTCCCCCGGCTCCGCCTCGCCCGCCAGCAGCTGCAGGATCTGGGCGCGGTTGTCTGCCGAGCCGAGCCGAGATCCTTGGTGTGAAGCTAGGAAGCTTCCTGGAGTCTAAACTCAGAGGCTTCAGATATTTCATGGGTTTTTTGCGAGAGAGGGGAAGGAGAAATGGCGCATGACCCTCTCCAACTGGTGATGTTTCCTGTATTCGGGAATCCGATCGCATCGTCTAAACGTGGCCGGTTTGGCTTGCTGGACCTTAAAGAGCAACCAAGAAGCCCTTTGGCTTCAATCAGAACTGAGGGTCAAATAACACTCCAAACCGCCAACTACGGGGTGCCTGAATGCGTCTCAGGTTGCGTCTGGGTGAGACTTTCATGGCTGTGGGAAATAACACTTTCGGTGTTTGTTTTCTTTGCAATTGCCGACGACTCTCTTGTGATGACCGCCCAGAAACTTCTGCCTTGAGACTTTTCTTGCGTGTAGACCTGAGGTCCCGCAAATACCAATGGAAGCATTCGAGACTCACACTGTTGCTATCAAGGTAACTACTTGATCACGGCTGCGCTAGTTGCCTGGTGTTTTCGGAGCCGTCAGTGTCAAAAATGTTGGGTGTTTGCTCATTTCGCTCGCAGCGTGGCAGGCATCAACATGCAAAACTACTTCGTTCGGCTATCTGCGCAACAATTTCGCCAATGCGCCCCGAAGCGGTTCCCAAACTTTGTCTCCACACGAATTGGTAAGTTCTTTGTTTCAATTGCACAATCAACAACAGCACTGGTCTGTACATCTTCCCAGGACTCAACTGAGCCAGGGTCAGCTGACATCCCTACCGAGCTGGGAAAGGAACCGCAAGAACCGATAAGCATCCCCTCCAAAAACAGTTTTTGATACCAGGCGACCAGCGCAACCGTGACCAACTACTTTCTGTACCATGGTGGGCCATCACTGTGACTACTTGGTCACTTTAAACGAGGGATTTCCCTTGGTGTAACGGAGAATGACCTGAAACCAAGCCAAGTGTTCCACAACCATGGTAAACGTAGATGGCGGTAGATGTGGACAAGTACCGGACGTTACAAAAAACAAAATGCAGGGGAGTTGTGCCATTCGCGTTCGCCCAACTTGAGAGTGGTCCCCTAAACCAGAGCCATTTCAACGGAGATGTCCCGCGAATGATGCAAGGTTCCCCTTCGAGCTTCGTTGTAAAAAAATGGAATTCAGTTGGTCTCCAAATGGGATAAGAAGCCCCATATGCAAGTCCCCTTTCCATCGGTACCCAATACTGTGGGCTTGCCAACAAGGCAGGGGGAATGCCGGTGCCTGGGCTCGCAACGAAACATTCGCCCTTGGGAGTTGGAATACTCGAAGGGTTTCTGGTTCGGCTTCCCTTGAAACACGATCCAAACGGGGCTCCAACGATTCCAGGTGGTTCTCTGTAGTTCCCCTGTGATCCTACAGCAAGCAAGGTTAGGGGTGAAAACAAAAAGAACTCCAACCCTAACCTTCTTCAATCTCCATGGCTTAAACACACCTTGTTTTTGTTGACAGACCTCTTTTTGTTTCTCTTGAAATTAACACCTGCCAAGAACCCCGGCCCCCATGACTACAAGCCACCTTCAAGAGGATTCGGAATCCTAAAATCCAGGACCCCGTCGGATCATTGCCGTGCGGGGTAAAAGAACGGAACCCTCAAAAAGGTTGGTGTCCTTTGGGTTTCCCTTCGAAAACCCACTCAAAAAAAAAGGGTACCAAAAAAAACACACCCAACAAAAGGGGTACCCCCAAACAAAAAGAAGACGAGCCGCCCCTTAAAGGATAAGCACCCCTGTCCACTCTTCCCCCCCCTCGATTTTTTTTTCAGGCGCGGGGCGGCGATGTCCTCCTTCCAGGCCAACAGCACCGCATCCGCGTCTGGGAGCTCAGGGCTCGAGGGAGGTGGGGCGCTGTTGGGGCCGGCCCTTGGAAGCTGGTCGTCTGGCTGTGGCTCAAAACACCGGGGCCAGAATTGGTTGCCCTGGTAAGTGGAAACATGGGCCAACACCTGCGGTTTGCCCCTGCTGTTTAATTTTGAGCCACATCCGTTGTTTGGAGCCCGCGTTCTTTCTTGGGGGTTTGGTCATTGGCCGTGGCTCGTTGTTTTTGGAGTGCACCTGCATTTTTCCTTGTGGTTGGGGGGGGGGGGGGGAACCGGGGACCGGGTTGGAAGATAAATCAAAAGATTTAGCCACATGGTTTAGGGGGTCCTGCTTGTTTTGACGCATAGCGCCATGTTGAAGAAAAACTCACCGCCTGGTTTCTCTTTCCCGGGACAGATGGATGCTTTTGTCAGAAGTGTCGCCTGGTTGGAAGCAATCAACGGAACCGAAGCCTCGAACAATGGATCGCTTTCGCAAGGGGAAAACCTAACCGACCCAAGGGGCCACATGATGGGTCAAAATGCGTCACCGGGAATCGGACCGTTTTCGTTGACCAGGATAGCCCATTTGCGGCTACCCTCCCACCAATTAACGTGGAACCTGGCGCTCTCACTGCCCGGTCCCTTTAAAAGGAAAGAAAGGTCGGGTTCCCCACCCCCAAACCCCCAAGCCCCTTCCCCCAAACCCCCACCACCCAAACCCCCACCCCCAAAACCCCCACCCCCAACCATGTTGATGGGCAGGAGGGCACCTATTTTGACCGCAGCCACCTTGGTGCGGGTCTCTGAACAACCGCGCCCGCGGCTTTTAAGTCGAGGCCGCAGCCGTCGGTGCAGGCGATGGTGCCGGGCTGGTCCTGCAGATGGGGATGCTGCCTGACCACTTTCCCGATTGGACCAAACTTTCTCAGGGCAAAACCTTGCGTTCCTTGGGTGTGCGCCTGATTTTGGGGCACCTGCCAAAATGGTGGTGTTTTCCCTTTGGTTTCCCTTGAAAAGCAACCCAAAGGGGGTTGACGGCACAAAAACAAAAACTTTGTGCCTCAAATGGGGCCATGATGCTGCACAGCCTGCTTTCTCAGTGGCCAAACTCGGCCACAAAACCCCCCGACCCGCATCCCCGCATAGCGAGTGGCTTCCAATCCCCGCCTGGGTGTAGAGGCCTTTGCCAGCTCTCACCACCAGGAGGTCGCCCTTCACCTCTCCCATCGCTTCGAAACTCCGGAGCTCGGGGTCTGGTTGGCTCAAGTCCAACATGAGTCACTGGCTCAAAACCCGGTACAAAACTGAACCCAGAGCCATGCTTCAAGAATCAAGAAGGCGGTACCCCCAGCTGTTGATGGCAAGGGGATTGTCCCTTACTACCCTTCATCTACCCGGGTTTTGATTGTTGCTCACATGGCCCCGCAAGGGCAAGCCGTTCAGTAAAAACAAAAACGTCGCTGACACCACGGAAAGAAGAACGGCCTCAACCCACCCCAAACCCAAGCCTCCCCCAAAACCGCCCCCCTGACCCCCGAACGCCGGCAGACCCACCCATCTCCCCCCCCCAAGAGGCGCCCAGAGGGGCGCCTTCAGCACCATGGCCGGCTCTGAGGGCTCCTGCTTCGTCTTGTCCTCCTCCGCCTCCATCTTCGGGAGCAACTGAGCCGCGCGCGTGGCAGGCGGGGCGTGCAGGGAAGCGGCTTCCGAAGGGTGGGGAGAGCTGGTTTTTGAGTGGACAGGTCGCACTGGTCCAAGGGAAACTGAACAAAATTGTAGCTCGAAGAACAGGTTTCGAGCTTCAACAGGTGTCTGGCCCACCGTTCGCTGCTTCAGAGTGGTGGGCAAAGAGGCCATGGGCCATTGCACCTTGGTCTTGACCGCAACAGTCTAGTGTCTATGAGGTGCTTGCCTGATTCAAACGGCTTCCACCATACAACGAGCCGTGCCTTGCCAACTTGCCGCCGAACTGCCAAACAAACACCAAAGCCCAACGCGCGGCCACGCGTGCATACACAACATATCCCATGCCTCTGTTGGGGTTGCACGGCCAACCAAAAAGAAGACAAGAACTCCTCACATCCGCGAGGAAAAGCAACACTTGGACTTGTCCCCCTCCCCAGTCCGCATCGTTTCAGAGCACCAGGGCTCCGGCGTCCAGCGCGCTGGACATGCCGGGGAAAGGGTCTTCGTCATTCGCCGCGTCGGCGAAGAGGGACGTGCCTCAAAGCGGATCGGCCATGTGAGTGAGCAGCCAAAACCCGTTGATTGGTAGTTCTAACAACATGTCTACATGTTTATGAAGGTTTACCAATAAATAAATAAATAAATAAATAAATAAATAAATAAATAAATAAACAAATAAATAAATAAATAAATAAATAAATAAATAACTACATACATGTATATATATATAAACATATATGATTATATTGAATAACCTACTGTAACCCCCCCACCTCTTTGGTTTGTACGGCAGCCACAAGAGCTGAGGTCCATCCCAAAACCAAGTATTGGACATGTTGGGCGAACCCCAAGCTATGGGTGTCCCAGCATAGGAAAGTTTTTTCCTTGGCTTCCCTTTCCAACAGGCATCCAAACATAGACCCCCCCCCCGGGCGCCCTGCTGCGGTACTTCTTCTCCGCCCGCCGCGCGAGCCGCGAGCGCCGCGGCTTCGCCGGCCTTGCGGCTTTCTTAATCAGCGGCAGACGGGGAACTGCCGTGGAAGTCTGGGGTCGAGTCTGGACGGGGAAATGGCATCCGGGCGAGCGCTGGGCTCTGTGGCACTGGATCCGACGTCCACATCGACCGTCAAACACTCACATCAGACTCTCAAACCCTCAGACTCTGAGGCCGACAAACCTTGCGGCCGCCGCCAGCGCCAGGGAAACCCCCAGGGCGCGGAAGTGAAGCCCAGACCCAGAGGACCCAGACCTGCCAAGCCGCGTTGCACAAAGAAAACACCAGGGGAAACCATGGCCTCCATTTGCGCTTTCGTCCCCTGGAAAAAATAGAAATCATTCCAGTAGTGAAATCGATTCCCTTTAAAACCAACAGGGGAAATAAACAAATCTTCTTAACCAAATGGAAGATGGGGGTTCCATGCAACAAAAGCCCCTTCATTGAGGGTGGGGGAGGCTATCAGCTTTCAAACCTGGCAACCAGTGAAGCAGCAGGACAAACTGCAAACGCACTTGTTGCCAGTTGCTCGGGGAGGCTTGGGAATGCGGGGCACAACAGCAGAGATGGTCGGAGAAGGGGGGAGAAGGGAGAGTAGGGGAATCATCTCTTCAGTCAGGGGAAGCAACGAGGAGCACAAATGAAAAGAGGAGATGAAGACCAAGAAGGCGCAAGCAAAACGGAAGCGGTGCGGTCCACAGGTAGAGTATCCGTGGTCTTCCGGATTTCAAACGGAAGAAAAACATGAGTGGAACCAAGGCAGAACAGACAGTTGGCAGCTGAAACTGAACCTGGAACCAGGGTTTACATGCTCAAGGCAGCACAAGACTCACGCCAACAACACGAGCAAACAGTGGCGGCTGCTTCAAATCCCCCCTCAAGCGAACTGTCAAACTATCTCTGGATTGACTGTTGGAAGACGACCCAAGCAGCATCCGCCACAAAACATGGACAACCTGCTGTTTTGCTGTCATGCCTTGGCCGTCGGCCTCCTGTGGAGTTCCTTCTGTGTCCCCTTTACACATCACCTCATCAGAAGGGAACTCAATAATAAAAATAATAATAAGAATAATAATGATAATAACAATAATAACAATAATAACAACAACAATAATAATAATCAAATCCCAACCATGCGGCGATGCTTGAACCACCTGAGAGACAAAGGATCTCTGAAAGAGGCCCCAAATCGACCCCGGCAAAAGTCAGCTGACGCTCGGTTTCGGAAATTCGGCCTGGCATGGGGCTGGACACACCGTGGTCGAGGTGCCTGCACGAGAGGAACAGTGGGCAAACCGCCCAGCGAACGAACGAAAGGACCAGAAGACGCAAATCAAAACCGTCGAAGGACCAATCAAAACAGAAATTCCTCGAGGTTGTTTTTGCACAAAGTCTCAAGAGGAACATGAACCCTCAGCTGGTAATAGCTTGCAACTCTTGATCACTTCAGATGTCCGGGAGCCCCAAACCACTTCCCCAATCCGGCCAACGCACGGGTGGTGTCAGCGCCAATTTCCCCGGCACCTCGGCATCTCTGCTTGCCAGCCGCTTGCCGGCACCCTCTCTCAGACGTCCAACTTCATCTGCACGACTTTATTGATCTGAGTTGGCCTTATGAGGGGACCTTCATTTTGGGTGAGCTCATCTGAGTTCAGGGCTTCATTTTGGGTGGGCATTCTGCTTGTCTGACTTCATCTGATCTGAGTTCTGCAAATTCACCCTTCATTCTGGGTGAGCTTTTGTAGAAGAAACAAAACGGTGCATCCTCCAGACCCCATCCGTCCGGACCCGCCTGCGCCGCCTGCGCCGTAGCTGGGCTGCACCTCAGCACTTCAATTTTGAGCCACACACACTCGGCACGAGCATGAAAATCACCCAGCTGCTGCTTCCCTAACACCCAAGGGGTCGAAGATTGCTTCCCAAACCGCTGGCATGCCGAATGCCCATACAGAACATCCCTGCTAAAGACCAGCTGCTACATGCTCAGAGGGAAGCTGACAGGAGGGTCTATCGCAACAATGCCTGCGGTCCACGTTCATGCCGGAAAGGGTGCAGGTGGGAGGCAAGCCCGGCTGACCTCGACTCCTCTTCAAAACCAGAAACCAGACTGATGGCGTGGGGGTTTGGTCTCAAATCATGAGCCGTAAAGTTGGCTTGGATCAAATTGAACTCGAAGTCCGCCCCAGCCCTCGGGACCATGGGACCCGTTCCTGGCATGTCAAAATCTTCCGTGCCCTCCGAGTCGAAGCCCCAGCTTCCGTGAATAACGGCAAACTCCGACCCCGAAACCCCCAGAACCGCGGGGCGGGAAGGATACTAACTTTCCGAGGTCCAAGACTGAGAACAACTATTTGGGGGGGGGGGCTATCAAAAAAAAGGATTCCCGTCCATCCAAGGGGTTTTTGGGCTGGGCTCAGGCCCCTCGAGGCCCCTCCAGCCAAAGGCACCAGGCTACTGCCTCCGCAGACACCGAGGGGCCCATGGCTCCCGGGTTTACTCTTGGGGGGGGAAGGGGGGCGCGCGCCCCCGGAGAAAAACAAAACCAAAAAAGGAAAAAAAAAGAAGAAAAAAACTGGGCGGCCGGGAGGAGGGGCAGCTGGTTTTAGGTCTCTGTCTGACTGGTGTTGACTGAGGCGAGCTATATGGGATTGTGTTTGGGGCACGGAAAGTTTTGATGCATGGGGCCCAGTGCTCAAGTTGGCGACTGTGAGAGTGTGGTATTGCGCCTCTGTCTCGGTTCATTCTTCAAAACTCTCCACGCGGCTTGAGAAAAGGGCGCAGCACACGGCGCATGGACAGCACTGCGGCAGTCCACCAGGGGGGGAGGCGCAATTGTGACGCCAGCAAGTGACCATGCCAAAAATGTACTGACCACTTGAACGTGTGAACATGCATCGAGACCCATACAATGCGATGCTGAGCTGAATCAAAGCCAACCCTCGAAGGCCTCTTGGGCCTGGCCCGGCTGCCTCACTGTTGCAGGTGGAGTGCACAACTACCCGGCGCCTACTAACACCACCGCAAGATGGGTTTGCGGCACTTCCCCAAAACCGCTTCAACGAGGAAGCGGCAATCAAACTTGGGGATCCCCTTTCAAGGCGCGGTCCAACATCTTGACCATGCCCCCCGCCCGCGATTTTTTTTCCTCAACTACCTCGGCCAGAATGAGGCACAAAAGCAACAAAACCAGAGGCGAACCTTCAACCCAGATGCCCAGTTGACTTTAAAGGGAAACCCTTCCCAAAACAAAGGAAAAAAGGGGCCGCCACTGGGCAACTGGGTGAATGAGAAAAGATAAAGATCTCTGCAGCAAAGTTTCTCCCCCGATGCTATAGCCTGCTCCTGGCAGAGAGATCAGCTCCCACAAAACCTAAGGCCTCATGCCAACAATGCATGGAACCATCAGTTGCGTAGCTGGCTGGTGCTCGGAATCTCCAATTCGCTCCTTTGCTACTTGACGTGTGCAAAGGGGCCATCCATTTCCCACTCATCTGCTCAGTCCCGAAAAACCAGCTAACTAAAGTTCCAAAGACATGAGGTGCTGACTAGGTGGGCCGTTGGGCGTCCCTGGTCCTGTCCAAAGTTGGAAAAGCCAAGCATCTGCCCGAAGTGTCATCCAGACGGTCTGCCCCTCAGTCCGCCCCCATTTTCTGAGGATTTCCAGCGTGAGCAAGTGAGACGTTACATTTCCGCGCCGGAACAAAAGATCTGGATTGCTTACTCCTGACCAGTTCCCTTTAAGAAACTCCACATGAAAGTCTGAAATCCACAATTCAGCTGTCCGGGCTCGCCTTTCGCGCTGGCCTTCCAGGGCGACACCCAAGATGCATAGGCCGCTTTCCGGCGGCCTTCGGGCCCTTTGGTCGCGTCGCGAGCCTCGGCCTTTCCCCCCTCGAACTCGACTTCTCGTCACACCGCCAGGCGCAAGAGATGTCAGCCGCACCCGGCGGTGAAGTGCCAGGGTCGGACCTCCGGGAAGACGGCCGCCGCCGCTGCAGCGCGGAAGTCCCGGACAAAGGAGACCTGGCAAGGGGGTGTTAGAAGACGCGGAGCACTGGATGCTTGTTGATTCATAGGGCTCGGCTACAGGACATTCCGCAACAAATTGACCAGCTGCTTTCTTCTAGAATTTGTTGACAATGGCATAAAAGAAGGCCACTTACAGGGGATGTAAAACTACCTTGAAAAGTGTCGATGTCGACTGTCTTGGTGTGACAGTACCTGAATCATGCAATGTTTCGTCCCAAGGGACATGGGAGCGTTGGATGCAAATCTACGAGCCAGTGTCAATTGTTTCAGGTGTTCCCTCAAACTCAACTGTCCCCCAGAAATAATCCCCGCCAGCCGGCCCCAAAAATTGCCAATACTAGCTTTCACGTAGCCAATGCTAAGCCAATACTAAACTCTCTACAAAGCAGGTGAACTCAGCCAAGCTCCCCAGATGTGGTTATTATGGGCCACCTCATTTCCCTGCGTGACGAGGATCTTACTATTGGGGTGTCCAAAGGTTCCCGTCAGAAGGTCTCTTCTTTTGACACAAACCAGGGTTTACCTTATCAGGGTTCTTTTGAAAACAAACTCTTCATAAAGGTTCTTACTCGGAAACTGCCTTTTGAGCACTTTTGCAAATCAAAGGGGTCCCACTTTCCCAATTACAACCCAACACTACACAACCCAATTTGAAACAGTTCTGGCCTGCTTAAATAGGGGGGACGGTCTTTCTTCAAAACAGGTCACCCTGAGCGGGCGGGGGGGGGGGGGGGTAGTCTTGTTTTTTGGTTTTCTCGAGGTTTTTTGTGCATTTCTTTGGACACGTATGAAAAACCTCGAGAAACAAAAAACAAAAAGAAACAGACGATGTCAGCTGTCCTGACTGGGGGGCGTGGGTAGCCTTGTTTTGTTTATTTTCTTTGGTCTCTGTTGGCATTGCTTTGGAAAAGTGTGAAAAGCCTCGGGAAAACCAACAAAAGCAAACAAAAAGGACACTATTAGCTGTCCTGATTTGGGGGGAGTAGTTTTGGTTGTCTCGCGCTGCTTTTTCGCACTGCACCGTTTCCGGCCAGTTTGCAAGAGCTTCTGTGATCAAGTCCGCTAGTATACTTCACCTCCTCCAAGCCCTAGCACAGTAAGTTACAGATGGTTTCCTTTGGTTGGGCTCGCTCCTTATTACATGCTTCTTAATCTTAGTTCGATATGTACACGTATCACTTGGTAAATATATTAAATAGAGTTCGTAAGAAAGAAAGTAGAGGCCCCAAAATGGTTTAAAACATGTTGTGAAAATGTCTATTGCTTTGCAAAAACAATTCAATTGGAAAGGGGGTCCTGTGTAGCATTTATGTTGAAATAGGATACTCATTATTCAAACTTTGCTTTAATCTTACAATTTTGCTTGGATTATTTCCTGACTACATTCTATTTAATGTGGAATAGATACTAAGTAGATTTCAGAAGGAAAGAATTCAGAGGTCCCGAAACCGTGATTGAAAGAATTTCAAGCAGAATGGTTTTAATTGAAATGATAAGTTAGACAAAATGTTCTGTTCAATCGAATTTCTTCCGGAAACTCAAAACGAGGGGGGCCGGACGACTTGAGAAGATTTCATCGGGGAGACTGATGGGAACCTGATATACCCCCAATCTCCCTCCCAAATATTCCATAGACGAGCCATGTCTCTGGCACGCGGGCTGTGCCTGCGACGCCCTGAAAGAAACACGTTGTACACTCGCTACGAATCCAAAAGCACGCCACGTTGCGTGACTTGTGTGTGAGCTTTGTTCCTGCCATCGGACCGCGTTTACTTCAAGACATGCTTCCGCAGCAACCTCGCTCCCTGGAGAACTCCCCTGGGATTCGAAGTCTTGACTCGCCTTGCAACACAAACCGATTAACGTGAAAATAACGCTATCTGAGTACCGGTGTTAAACAATCTAAAACCCGGGTCCAGAACCTAGAAATCTAAATACCGGTTAAATTACACCGCCGAAGACCCCAAACACCTCATGAAACAAAGCGCGGCAAGGCGCTTCCTGCAAAAGGCCCTGTTGAACCTGATCAGCCGACATATGAAGGGAGGCAAGGGGGAGACAACGCCATGAGCGCACGAAACGCGCGGGAATCGGAGCGCGTAGAGGAGGAAGCGCGGAAGGGAGTGCGCGGAGCGCGCAGTTTAGCGAGCGCAAGGGGGAGGAGGGTGTCAAGAACAAGGCGTTGAGCGAGCCAGACCATCTCGTGACAGCATCCAGACCAGCAAGTGCGTTGACTGAACCAGACCATCTCGTGAGAGCATCCACCAAGCGCGTGAGGACACAAGTGGGGGAAACAAACGACAGCAATCAGCCCAGCAAGCGCGTGAGGCAACATGAGCGCGCAAAACGCACGGGAATCGGAGCGGGGAGAGCGGTGAGAGAGGAGGGACCGCGCGGAGCGCGCAGGACTGGTGGATCAAAAGCTGGAGCGCGCGGAGCGCGCAAGATAGCGAGAGAGCTGAGCGAGCCAAACCATCTCGTGACAGCATCCAGCACACCCCGAGCAAACCGAATGACGGGTCGACCTGCGAGCCTGAGCAAAAGCAATCGCGTTCAATGGAGGGCGGGCCCTTGGTTTGCCTCCCGCCTGAACGTTCGCCAAGGCGTGGGGAATGACTTGCTTCAAGCCGGTCGGGGTCCTGGGCCAGGAGCGCCTTCATGACGTGCGCGGAGTGGAGGCCGCCACGCCGCCCGCGCGCAGAGCGCTCAGCGCCGCCTTGCAGACGACTGCCTCCCATTTCTTGCTTCCTCTCCCCGCCGTCAAACACTTTTCTACCTCTGCCGCCAACTTCTAGATATGCCGCCAAGGAGCATTGGCACGCTGCGTGGAGGGCTTGCTCAAACTGGCAGGTGACCGTGGACTTGGCGCCCGGCGTGGGCACTTCCCCAATTCGCCGGATGTAGTCCGGCCATGCGCCTGCATCCTGGGTTGCGGCGGCTCAAGGGGCTCAGAAGGACCACAAATTCGCAAACGGTCATTCTTTTTTATCACACTCCGTCTCAAGAACCGGCAAGCGCGATGTCGCACACAGAGTGTCGCCGCCCATGTCTCCTTTGGCGAGGTCGACGATGGTGTCCTGCGGAACAGCTGCGCCCGTTCGCGCCAACACGTTTTCTCGCAACCGTCTTCGCCCGGCCTCTTCCCGGTTGCAGGCGAACACGTTCTGGGGCTTAAGCTGGACCCACTCCATCGCCTGCGACGGCCGACGCGGCAAAACAAGCGAAGCGAACAGAACCATCCCGCGCCTTCCAAACGCTGATGTCCGAAGAGCGGAGGACCGGGAAGCGCCACACGACAAATTCTCCGGCCAAGAACTCCTGACGACAGAGCAAGAGCTTGAAGCACACTCCGCCAAAGCGGTGCGGCCCAGCCTTGCCGTCGAAAAGTAGCACTGCCCGGACTTCAACTCGCCCCAGGTGTCCCCGACTGCGTAGCCGCTGAAAGACCGGCCCCCGAACGGCAGCTTCGGGTCGCCGAGGAAGGTCTGGGCGAGCTTTTTGAGCCGGTGCGCGAAATACACTGCTTCCCGAGCACGCTTGCTCCGGCAGCGGCGAGGCTGAGCGCAGCGCAGCGCGCAAAGCGCTGCCTGCAGCAAGCGCCTTCCCGTCCTCCTGGCAGTCGACTTAGCCCGGTCGCCTGACGAATTTTTTCAACGTTCAAACAGTCAAGATTCTGTTTGGAACCAACCCCTCATCTGTGCAATTTGGCACCCTTGGCCCCATGACAGAGCATGAACGCCCAAGCGGCTTCCTTCTTCGCTGGCGACTCCGGGATAGGCTCGGCCACACCTGCCAAAACGAGCAAAAAGCGCGTCATCCACAAAACGAATCCCAAAAAACGGGCCAAATACCACAGGCGCCAGCGCACCCCACTTTGAGCCCAACTGCTATCGTCTGCAGTCACAACTGCAGCATCAAAACTTCAACCTCAGACCTCACGCCAACAATAGATGGAACCATCAGTTCCCAATTCGCTACTTTGGTTTGGGTATAGAGTGGGTTTAGTTCAAGGCGGCCTGGGTTTGTTTAGGGTTGTTTTGAAGGTTGGTTTAGGGTTGGTTGAGGTTGGTTTGGGGGTTGTTTCAAGATTTTTTTTAGGGTTAATTTCGGGGTTTAGGGTAGTTTTAGGTTGGTTTAGATAGATTTGGGGTTGGGGTGGGGTTAGGCTTGGTTTAGGGTGGTTTAGGGCTGGTTCAGGCTGGGCTTAGGGTTGGTGTTGAGTAACCTCGTTGCAACCCTAGCCTTTCCGCAAGCATAACATGTTCGGGCAACAAACTGCATGGCAGGTCTGTTGCCCATAGCACGAACGGGTTCTGAGGGAAAGCCTGAGTGGCTGATGGCCTGAAGAGCACGACAGACTTGACGAAGAAATGCGTGAGCCACATCTGTCAAACTCACCCGAACAGAGCATGCGTTAGCAAATACTTTCGCGGTTCACGGCATGAGCGGGATGCTCTTGCCCAACAACCTCCTTCGGAACACCTGTCATTTAGCTTTCCTCCAGCTTCAAAATCACAACTTTGCCAGCACGGGTGTAGCCTGTGAAACACGGTCTTGGCAGCTCCGGCTCGAAAATTGCAGGAGTCTGCGAAAATCGCAACTTGTCAGCACAAATACAACACATGGAGCACACGTTGGCCGTGAAACCTCCGCTCGAAATCGCAACTGTTCAGTACGCGCTCAGCACACGCACTGGACATTTTAACCACAGATTCCTGGCACACTGCCCGCCTCCTCTGTAGAGGACCGCTCCTGCCAACGCACGGCGCGCACCAAACCCCCGAGCCAACCAAATTTTGCCCACCTCAGGGCAGCACAGCGCGCAAAGCGCTGACTGCCGATTGCTTCTTTCCTGGCGCAGGTGCGCCTTCCCCTCCTCCTGGCCGCAGTCGGCTTGGCCCGGTTGCCTGACCATGAAAGCCCAAGCGTCCTTCTTCGCTGGTGACTCTGGAATCGGGGTGAGCATCACCTGCCAAAACGAGCAAATAGCGCGCGTCATCCACAAAATGAACCAACAAAAACGCACCAAATACCAGAGTCGCCAGTGCACCCAAGTTTGAGCCAAACAGCTGTCGTCTTGTAGTCCCAAATGTAACGTAAAAGCCTAACGCCTCATGGCAACAATAAATGGAACCACCATTTGCGTAGCTGGCTGTTGCTTGGAATCCCCAATTTGCTCCTTTGCGGATTTGGACGTGTGGCCACTCGCGGTTATCTGCTTCCAACGCACATGGCATGCCGGTGGGCGGCGCTCAGAGGGGCCGGATTTTCCGATGACTTCCACCAGGTGGGCAAGTGAGACCTTAAATCTCCATGTGATTCAGGCGGGAACAAAAGTCATGGATCACTTACTCCTGACCGGTTCTCTTTCAGCAAATCTATGGGGAAACATGAAATCAACCGGGCCCCAGGAGCAAACAAGTCAAAGTTCCGCGGGACCCCTTCAGACTTTGCCTTCTCTAGCGCTCCCTCGCCTTCTGGCAAGGGACTCCGGGACCAAGCCGCGTTCCTTGAGCGCTCCAAGAACACCGCAGAGGGTCTTCTCGTCCGATCGCCAGGGCCCGGTTTGGTGGAAAGGGCCGCTTCTGCTGCATTGCGAACTTTGGCGTCTGCCCGAGATTCAGCATTGAGAAACTCTGCTCAAATCGTGGACCTCGTGCGCGCGTCACACGCCTCCGTCCCCGTTTCCCAGAGATGTCAGCCGCACCCGGCGGTGAAGTGGCAGGCTCGGACTTGCGGGAAGACGGCCGCCGCCGCCGCCGCGGCTGCGCGGAAGTCCCGGACAGAGGCGACCTCGCCAGAGGGCGGCGGCTGCACAACTCACATCGCATCCCCTGGGCCTACTTTCAAACTCCAAAATCCCCGTCATTTCCGCCCTAAACGTACCAAAGGACCTTCTGCTCGGTTTCCGGGGGAGTTTCACCTCGGTACTGGGGCCTACCAGGCCTACCAAAGGACAAACCCCTGCAACCCCAACAGCATCTGGACGGATTTGCCTTACTCCAGACGTGACAAGCACCGTGCGGAAGCCTTGGCTGAAGATAGATGTGGGTCTGTCCCAATTCAACCCAAAGGAAACCAAAGAGGAGAGACCCACCTTCGCAGTCAAGATCCTATCCCCCAATCCTCTCAGAGATATTGAATAAACCTGATCTGAGCGCGAAACCAAGCCCACCAGCCACCCACTTCTCCCAACCCCAACCCTAATCTCTGCGAGAAACAAGCCCCAGCAACCCACTCCCCCCCGCCAACCCCCAACCCCCCCCAATCCCACGGCTCCGAGCCGCCGAGGCGTCGTTGTAGGTGAGGTCCAGCCCCAAAAGCCCCAGGCGCCCGCCGCTCGCGGCTCTTTGGCGCAGAAAGGCCGCGGCCGCGTCCACGGAGGTGGAGGTGAGGAGGTTGCCTCAGAGAATAAACCGAAGAAGAACCGATCATACTCGCATGCCACACGTTTTTTGTTGTTTTTAATTCTTCGAGGGAGCTCAAGCAACCCGTCCGGAATCTGGGCTTTTTTCAGTGGAAGGTCCATGTCTGGGTAGCAACAAGAGCAATGACAATACGCTTTGTGAGGTCGCAGTTTGATTAAGAGAGTGGCCACACAGCCTGCCCGGGTGGAAAACTGATCATGTGTTGCCAAACCTTCAAAAAAGGACACCTTCCGCATGGGACTTTGTTCAATAAGATGCTTGTCTTCTAAACCCCTCTTGTCCACTTCCATGCGGGAAACTGGCCCAATACCGACCAAACCAGACCAAAACCTGACCAAACTCCCATATTTTCAAAAAGCAAAAAAAGGACCAACAATGCAGGGACCATCTTCGCCTGGAACGCATCATATCACAGACAGCAAGGGGACACCTTGCCCCCGTCTGCCCCCGTCTGCCCCCCGCCGCCGCGGCGCTCGTTAAGTTCACGAAGCCCAGCTCCCAGCTTTCGTCGCCTTCGGCCGCGCCGAGCAGCGAAAGGAAGCCCCGGTCGCCGACGCGGTTGGTGCCCAGCAGCAGCTCGCCGCCTTCGAAAGGCCACCGGAAACGGACGCGGCTCGAGCACCCGCGGCGCTGGCGGCGCCCGCGGCGCCCGCGGCGGCGTGTTTGGAGGACTTTCCGGGGCTCAGGGTTTGCAAGGGACACCCAGAGGAAAAGCCGCCAGTTTCGGGCTTCCCGCAATTGTTGTCACGCCCCACTTCGAAGACCGGCAAGCGCCACGCCTCCGGCGTGTGCCAAGGCCTCCAGGCCCGCATCCCCCACGGCGTTTCGGCCCAGGTCGAGCCTGGCGAAGCCGCCCGTCGACCGCTTTTTGCGGGCCAAGCAAGGGGCCCCTTCAAAAAGACGTATCAAAAGAGTCGCACCCCTCAAGTCCTGACCTTTCCCTTTTTGGCTTCCCTTGAAGAAGGCAACCCTCAAAAAACCGGACCCACACACGGCTCCATCATGAACCCCTCCCCCCCCAAACGAACCACTCGCTCGGGGCGCGGCTCGCCTGCACAGGCGCCCCGCGGCTTCGCGCGCCAGCGCCCGGGCCCCGGCGTCCGTGACGCGGCAGCCCCGCAGCGAGAGCCGCACCAGCTTCAGCCGCGGCCCGGGCGCGGACGCGCCCTGCGCGGCGAAAAGCTCCGCGATGAGGCCGCAGGAGGCGTCCGTGGCGCCGGTGGCCTCCAAGTCCAAGGCCTCCGTTGATCGGCAAAAAAAAGACATCGGTTCGATCAAACGGGTTTTCAAAATCCAAAGCCCCAACCCCCGGTGAACATCCCAATCCAACCACTAAAATAGGTTCTAAAACGGGTGGTGAAATCACCTACCCCAAAATGGTACCAGTGGTTTTGACCCACAGCCATATGCCACTGCCTCACAAAAAGGAAAAGCATCAAAAGCATGCTCATCACAGAATGCCATAAAACGCACCAGTGCATTTGCTCTTGCTGGCACTGGTGGATCGAAGGGGTTCCTTCCCGGGTTGCTTTTGTTGCTGTTGGCGGAATGTCAATCAAAAGCTGGCGGGTGATGTACGGAATCAAGGCAAGGACATGCTATTTATGACTGAATCTGTCGCCGGGATTCTGATTGTGACTCAGATGGGCACAACTAGTTGGGCGAAGTCCAACGACTCACTGCGAGGTCGGCAAATATTTGTGGCCCCTTTTTGAACAATGGCAGTCCGAGACATTTGGGCAAGTACACGCTATTTTGAGCAAGGAATCGTGAGCAAATGGTTTGCCAAAAGGCTTGCCAAAGACAATATCGGCGATGAAGGTCTAGTTGCCACCCTTGTGACCAAACCAAGGTCACAATATTTGCCCCCTACTCATTTGGAACCCCCCCGAAAAAGACTTGAAACTGCTGATCTTTCAACCTTTGGTTGAAAGGGGACGACTTTATGGGTTCTGGAGCAAAACTCCGGGGAACCAACTCCGCTTCTCCGGCCTCCAAGCTGCAGTTCTGCTGCTCTTTGAGCGCCGCGCAGAAGGAGTCCTGCAAGACCCAAGCCGAAACCGCAGCCTGGAAAAGGGGAAAGGGCTCACGAAGGTCAACAAACCTCAGCTGGAGTTCTTGGGACCTCCCGTCAGGAGCCAGGCGCGGCGCCTGCAACGGGCAGCCCCGCAGCTCCAGGCGCCCGCAGCGGTGTGCCAGAGCCGCCAGCGCGTGGGCGCCTGCGCGCGAACGCGCGCGCGCAGCCGGGGTCTGCGTCAGGGACTTGGACCCCAAGACGATGTGAGGTTTCCCTTTTTGGCTTCCTTGCAGGGGCACCCAAAAGAAAAAAGAAAAACACGGAAGGGGTCCCAAAAAGAAAAAGCAGACACAAAACACAAGTGCAACTGGAACATGGAACAAGTGCTAGTTGGGCTTCATCGTGCTAGTTCATCTGAAGAGTACAGTAAATTGGTGGCGCCCAAGGAAGGAACCGAATTCCGCGCTGTTCGGGTGAGTAGACTTGCGCCCAAATGGCAAACAGCTCCCCAACCCAAATGGGAACCATCTTTCACTCTTCCCCTTAAGACGTCACCAAGGATTTCGCCAAATTCGAGGCGGCGGCGATCCCAAAACGGCTACCCAGCCGTCTGTCACCAGCTGACGGGTTCGAAAGCAGCATGCCCCCGCCTTCAGGACCGATGCGGTTTTCGCTCAGCTTGAGGTGCCTCGCGAGCGGCGCTTCGGGTCGCTTCGGAATGCTCCATGCGACCCCCCCTACCGCTGGTGCCCTAGGGAAACCCATGGAAACCCATGGGCAATTTGCAATATGTCAGGAGTCAACAGGCGACAGGCGCGTAGGTGTTGCACAAATGCTCATGCATTGATTTGCAATCATGGGCCATCATGGGCCTCAAGGAAGGTCAGGGCCCAGTCTGCGCTGTGAACATCTCCTCGTCGGTCCCGCCCTTGAAAAGGCACCCCACAAACTACTTCCAGTGACCTCACACGACATCCACCCCGTTCAACTAGATGGTCCTCACAAAGGACAAAAAACAAACCGAACCCGGTGGAATCCCTCCAAAAAGTTACAAGGGTGGAACCAAACCCGACAAATTGGCCATTGCGAGGCCCCACCCCAACACCGTCCTCCCCCAAACCACCCAGACCCCTCAAACCCAGACCCCAGCCGCAGCTCCCGGGGTTCCCGGGGCCCCCGGCGCTCCGAGGCCCGGCGCCGCCGCCGCCGCCAGGGCCTCCGCCGCCACGGCCGACAAGCCGTTGCCGCTCAGCGACAGCACCTCCACGGCGCCTGCGGCGAGGTGCTCGCTGGAGCCGGGGGTCGCTTGAGGCGGGAGGCGGCGGCTGAGGGTTTTGGTCCAGCGACGGAGATTTCACCAAGAACTGAGCCGAAAACACAGCAACGTCGCAAGGGCCCGAAACGGAAACACAGTCACAGGCCGCAGACTTCCGGCGGAGGAGGTGTACAAGTGCAACTTCAAAGAACACCGTTGACCGGGTTTTGATTCAAAGAGAGTCTGATCGCTTGTACAGGGCAAGCATCATGAGTGTGTGTGTGTGTGGCATCCGACATGAACCCATTGGTTTAACGGTTAGACCCGACGACTTGCTCACCCAACCTGGGGATAGAATGAACAAAATGGGAGGTCGAAAGCCGTCGGTTAAAAAGTCCGCTTCGCGGATTGCTCCGTCGGTCTCTTAGATCCACCCCCGATGGAACAATCCCATTCCAGGGAGCCCGAGGGGATGTTTGGGGCGGAGGGTTGAGAAAGCAGGCGTGGGAAGAGGCTTGAAACAAATCCCAAGCTGTGTGCAGTCCTTCTGGCTTCCCTTCAAATACCAACCAGGGAACTCTGCCATTTTAAAGAACAAATCCACCGAAACAGCCGAACCCATGTTGAAAAGACTCCAACCCCCACGCCCTTTTCGCCCCTTTTCCAACGCGAGCTTCGACGAGCCGAGGTGCCCAAGCTCCGCCCGGCCGCCGCGAGGAGGCCCACCACGCCGCCGTCCCCCAGGCAGTTGCCTCGCGGTCGCCGCCCGCACCCCACGGCACGCCCTCAAATGAGGCAACCGCAGTCATAAGCCAACAGCCAAACACTCAAACCGTCTCCATGAGGCCATCAACCCCACCACTATCATGAGGTAACAACCAAACTCCGACTCCGAAGGCCAACCCCCCACCAAAAAAAAAAAACAACTGCATAGACCCCAAATAGCAAGAGAGTGGTGTCAGCCAACGAACTAAAGATGCCCATTCCGATGCAGCCAAAAAAAACACCTGAGGGCACCTGCGCGGGTCAAACGCGCTGTGTTCCCCCGGCGCTGCCTTGCAGCAGCAGCTCCCGGGGGGCGGGAACCGCATCGCGCAGCGCCTTGCCCAGCGCGCAGGCGCCGGCCTAGGGGACAGGCAGCCAACACCCCCATCAGCACCCCCGGCGTTTTCGCCAAAACGCCGACCTTTCGCATGTTAGGCATGGTCGCCAGGAAACGCCCCCCCACCCCCCACCCAGCAGAGGTATTTTGTGGACCCCCTTGAAGGAGTCGTTTTTGAGGGGTGCCAATTTTCTCACAAAAGATAGCCCTGCCCCCACCCCCCACCCTCCAAGTGAACCCGCCCTTTGCGCCACAGGCACAGGGCCCAGGCCACACCGCGCCAGGCCCAGGCGCTGCAGCCGCCCCGGCCGAGCCAGCCGCGTCAGCGTTGAGGCCAGGAGCTGTGGGCTGAGCAGTCGGCCCCCCAGGTCCTCGCTTCAGCGCGCAGCATGGTGTATATGCACATAGAGATAGGTGTATATATATATATATATATTCTTCTATGTCTGTTTGTATGGGGTCACCCTCCCAAAACTCCCTTTGTTGCTCTGTCTGCAAAAAACGTTTTAAAAAACCACATACACACACAAACACACCCACCCACCCACCCACCCACCCACCCACCCACCCACGCACGCACGCACGCACGCACGCACGCACGCACCCACACACACACACACACAGCGCTTCTAAGTTTTTGTGTTTTTGTCGTAAGAACGACGCGTAAACCAAAACGGAGTCCGTGTTCGATTTGCATTACGCAAATTGCGAAACACCCTCAGCGTCCGCAACCTTCTAGTAATTGTGCGCAAACAACTCTGCGTTTGTTGCACATTGTGTAGAACAATTCGAACAAGATCATCCATAAGGAGTCGGTTTTTGTTCTTGCTTTGCGCCGGCCCTGCAAACAAAGAAAGACACACTGGCGAACGCGGTCCTGCAAATCAGCAGGCAGACCCTGTGGGTGCTTTCTTTGCTGTCATGCATGTTTAGAGCTAGCATTCCTGCCGTTGCAAGACAAGCCGTATTACACAACTGTCGGCGACAACTTTCTTGCTGTGCCTTCGGCGCTTCCGCCCGGAGCGCTGTCACCTCGCGCCTTCTCTTCAAAGACCTCTGCTTGTCGGCTCTCTCTCTCCCTCTCTCGGCATGACTGTTGCCCGCCCTCCGCGGCGCACTTCCAAACTTGAAGTTCCAAGGACGGCGTCGGCCACTTGCACATGTTCACAAGCGCCGCCCAAGGCAAATGACAAGCATGCGCACAAGCTGGTTGCTTCCTCGCCGGCTTTGCGGAATTGTGCAACTCAGGTTGCCAAAGTGCTGTGCCTGCAACGCAATTCAAACCTAGCGAAATCTTGCGCGGACGTGCCATTGGGACCGTGGCGAACCCGTGCGCAAAACTCTCGTGCTTCGCATGTGGGGAACTTCACTTTTAGTATTACGGAAGTTTTCTAGCCAAACTGTCTTTGACTCTGTCAATTATAATTCAAATGTGAACTCATTGTTCATGAGATATGAACAAATATGTGTTTAGACGTGTGATAGAACTGAAGAAGGACATTACATAATTCAATTTGAATGTCTATGCTCATCTAGAATTGAAGTAGGATGTCCTTTCCAAGTAGGATTTTTGTAAAGCTAATCGCAATGTAATTCGATTTTGATTGTCTAGTTCGATCAGGAATTCAAGTCGGAACTCCTTTCCAAACATATTCTTGCTCAAAGTGCAAGTCAAATTGAATTGATAAGTCCCCACGTAGATGTTTGAGCTGTTAAATGTCCAATACCGAGAAGAGGATCATGCGGTCTTCTTTTGGGGGCGCTTGCCAAAAGAATCAACACTACTTTTGGAAGCTTCCACTTTCTGCAATGTCTTGTCATTTTTGTGACTTTCTTCTCGCACAAGAGGGTACCCTCAAAAAACAGAATCGCACATATTTATCATATATAGCTCCCCCCCCCCCAATCAACTGTGTCCGCGTTTTTGGCTCCCAAATCAGTTTTCGCACCACTTTGTTGGACACATCCAAAATTGTCAATGCCTGTTTCTTTGAGAAAAAATGCCAAGCGGCACACTCGTCATCCTGGAGCAAGGCGTCCACATCTTCTTTCGTTGCAAAGGGCACCTGCGCGCACTGCAAACACAAACTACTACCCCGCGGAAAACGCGGTTGCAATTGACCTTTCCAAAGGGTGATGTGCTCGTTCCACCAAGAAAGAACCACAGGGGATGTGCAGCTAATATGTGGCCCCGATTTTGGCTTCCTTTCAAACATCGCTACCAAAACCGTGCCTCTGTTCCAATGCGGGTTGACAAACTACCCGACACGGACTCTCTGTACTCCCTGGTCAAAATGTCTCCACCCGAAAACGGAACTATGAGGAATCGCGAAGCCCCCTCCCCCCCCCCCCCGAACAGCGTTGTATTCTCCACCCCTCAACCTCCTCTCAACCTCCCCCTCAACCTCCCCCTCAAACTCCCCTCAACCTCACCCCTCAACTCCCCTCGCCTTAGCCCCTCCAACCTAAAACTAGAAGCCAAAACCTCAGCTTTTCACCAAGCTAGATCGCCCACACTCCCCCCAAGACCCCCCAAGACAGCTTCCCCCAAGACAGGTATCAAGACTCCAAGACAGGTTCCGCAACCCCCCCCGCCGACTGCCCCCAGACTCCCCCAACAACTCCTCCCCCAAGCCCAAACTCAGAGACTCAGACCAGAAAGCCAGAATTCCTCCCCAAAAACCCTTCAAAACCCCCATCCACCAAACTCCGAAACTCCCCGACCAACTCCGAAACTCCCCGCGAGCTTCGATCCGCGCTCCGCGCGCGGCGACGCCTCGAAGTCCATGGCCCGCAGCGCGCGCCACCGCAGCACCCGGCCGTCCGCCGCCTCCGCCAGCGCCGCCTCCGCGAGGCTCAGCAGACGGCCCAGCGGAGGCCTCAGGTCCGCAACCCGCCGGCGCCGAAACCAACGGCAGGACTCAGGAGCGCCCCCCCCCCTCGACCCCAAAAAACGGGTTTGTTCCCGGCCTATAAAGGGCGCCACACCTCCAAAACCAACAACAAGTGCTTCAAAAAGGTACCAAAAAACCTCAATTAATACACAAACCTCAAAAACCTCAACCAACAAGACCAAAACATGCGCCCCTCAACCCAGTGGAAACACAACACGCCGAGGGAAGAAAAAAAGCGCGCCCCTCGCTCGCTGGCTTGGTTGCTGCCGACCCCTCTGCAAAAAGTTTTTCTCTGTTTGCAGGTGTCCTGGAAAACCCCAACTGGATTTCAACCAAAAAGTTGAAAAAGTCCAAAGGTCCAACCCAGCGCGCCCCTCGCTCGCTGGAAAGTCGTCGCCTCTCAGGCGATAAGGCGGCCCAGGACATGGCCAGCTCCACCGGCGCCAGCGTTTCCACGGAGGGGGCAGGCCCTGGCCGCAAGAAAAATCGGGCGGATGTTTGTTGCTGTTCCTTTTTTTCACACGCATAAGGTGGCTGTTGGAGTTCTTCCAACTAGAGATTTGGTGCTTTATGTTGTTGTTGCTTTTTGAGTGCTTGTTTCTTTCTTTTTAAGTTCTATAGTCATAGTTGTTGAAGCTAGATTGAATGAAACTACGTCCATTGATTTACCGATTCGTACTTGTTGTTTGCTACGTGTTTATTGGATTTGTTGTACTGTGGGAAAACTGATGTTTTCCTTATGGTTCAAGATGCCAGTCAGAAGGAAGCCAATCTCGGTCGCTTGTAAAGCAGCCAACTCTGAACAGGGTGTCTTCCAAAAAAGTCCCCGGCTTAGTAACAACAGTTTTGTTCCCCCTCTTCGGCGAAAAAACAATGTGTCCTTCTGCAATACGACCGAAGTGGAATCCCCAAAACTTCCGGTCACTTCAAAGGGATTACTTTGGTATCACAAAAAGTGCCACCATTGGCCCCCCAGCAAACCAAGGCATGAAAACGGGCTAAGAGACTTTGCATCGGAACTCTGGAGTCTTGGAGTCAGGTCAAGCGGTTCAGGCGGGTTCGGGTAGCTTGGTGCCGGCAACCTTGGCAGTGGTACAGTAACTCATATTGCGCCTGAGTCGTCGAGTCACAAATTCTGGCCAGAAATCAAAGCCTGGTGGAATTTTACAAACGCCCCGTTGAGGTTAGGATTTGGACACACCCTTTCTGTGGGGGGCGGGGGGATTCTTGACCAAGGTTCCTTTTTTTCATTCCTCCGGCATAAACCTTTAAACTCAAGGGGGTTCCCTTTGAGGAAATCCACCTCCCCTAGATGAAGTCTACCCTGCGTTTGCGTTGTGGAATGACACCCTCCTCCACGCCGATCTAAGTCAAGCCGAAGTACGGTACCCCAAAGGAAGCGCACATGCCACCAGCGCTTCCAACAGGGACCGCTTTTGGCGCTCTCCTTTTGGAGGGGGAGTGTTCTTTGGATCACAGCTACTTGGCCATTTGCTTAGAATAACCCCCCCCCCCCAAAAAAAAAAAAAAAACGAGAAAAACATGAAAAAAAAGAAAGGGCTGACTGAAAAATCCCCCCCCCTCTCCCCCCCCTCTAAAAAAGGAAGAAGAAACAAAACGGGGGCTGACCCCCCTTTAAGCCCCCGGCCGCCGCTCCCCTTAAACCGCTCCTGCCACCCAATAGGCTCGCTTCGTGAGCGCCAGGCGCACCGGCGCGCCGCAGCGCACGTTGGTGGTGCTGCTGTGGGCCACGTGGGGATGCAGCAGCAGCACGTCCCCGGCCTCGCCTCGGGAACAGGAGCAACCAAAGGAGCAACCACCACTCTGGAAATGTCCCCCAAGTTCTCAAGACGCGCCAATATTAGCTGAATCATTTTGCACACATCCCTCGGAGCCCGGCTCAAAAAACCAAAAAAGCAAAAAAAAACTCTGGGAACCCTGGCAGGCTGAGTCATTTTGTACACATCCCTTCTCTTGGCTTCGCCATGAGCATGTGAAGAGGAAATTTAAGCCATATGTTGCTGTTTCTTTCAAACGCATCCTTGAAATGCCAACCAAAAGGGGGTCCACCAATTTTTACAAGCTCCCATACATATTCTGATCATCCGGACTTGGCATTTTTACGTCCGCCCCCCAGCCTTACACCCTATAGGCAGGTGGGCTCAGAAATGTACTTCTGAGGATCCTTGTGAAAGAGGAAGGATTTGGAGCCAATCCAAAACTGCCCTCTTTCCATGCACGGAGGGTTGATCCCATTTGAAGATTGGTTGTCAAAACAAGCAATGCTCCTTGTGCCACAGCCAGCGCTTGGCAAGCGCTCGCTGGCCACGAAGGAAAAATGGATTGGGGTGGAAACGGAGCCGCCGTGTTCCGAGAAACTTCACCGGAGTCCAACTGGTCCGGCCGGGCTGAAAAGGCCCTTCCACTTTGCATGTCTGGGAACTTTGATGAAATCAAGGAGCAATTGCAAACCTCCTGCTGTGAAGAGGGGGTCTGTGCAGCGATGCTGCGGTGTGTATATATTCCCCAAGCAACGAATGCACCCAGGCAAATAGGAATGACTCACCAACCTGAGGCAACAAACGTCCATGCGTCGCCAAGGAAACAAGCATTGGCGCGATAAGCCAGGCTTCCTCATTTTGTACTTTTTTCAGCCCTGATATTGTCATCCGGGTGCTACTTCTTAGTGTGATTTTGTCTGTCCGAAGATCAAGAGCATGGGTCAACAATATCCTCCCCTCTTGAGTCATAGGGGATCCACCCAAAGCCGACCTTCTGGGGGATGGCACTATTCCTATCCAGCACTCCCTGCAAATGGATAGTCGGTTGGGCTTCCTTCCGTGTCAATCTATAGGAGAAAAGTACAACCTCCTCCCCGCCTAAACAAAATCGTCTCGTTTTTTGATCCTGGTCCACAGTGAACCTCAAAATCACCAGTAATGTCAAACACAAACCTTCGTCTGTTCCTCAAAATCGGGGACCGTTTGGCTTCCTTTTGGTTTCTTTCAAAACCCCTCCAGCCAAAAAGTGCCCGGGGCTTTTGCGCTGCAAAAAAAAAAACGAGGCGCCGCCGCCAGTCCCCGCTTCGAGTTCTTTCGGCCGAAGCGCAGTAGATCTCCAGCTCCGGGTACCGCTCCACGTCCAGAGCCTCGCCGGCTCCGAATCGAAAATGGGATCGCAAAAGGGGTTTGTTGCTGGCGGTGCCCCTTTAAACCCCCCTAAAACAGGGGTACCAACTCTACATATGGGTGCAGGGGAACCATCCAGACATGGGCATGACTCTTCAAAGCACCACATTGGTGCTACTGGTACCTTAATCGCGAAACGGTGCATCCTTTACGCCGCATAAGGATTAGTGCCAAAATGGGAGGATTGCCCAGCTCCACTGGGCAGCTCCCCTCAGCAGCTGATGGGAGTAGAATTGATGCCACTCCCACAGCGAGGGAGGAATCCTCCCACCTCACCGGATGCCCTCCCGGCATCATGGGTGAGGAAGGAAAGTAGCGAAGATCAGCTTGATCAATTCGCTTTCGACTGAGGGGAAGACCCGGTTCTCAGTCGGAAATTGCGGGTCCGGATGAGTAAGTTCATCCGCCCATGTGTTAAAGTCGCGCTTCACATGCGACGGTCCTAACATGACCTGGTGGTCATGCAGTGTTAACACAATTTCCATGAGGATGGCCGCATTGGGCATCCTGCGAGTGGAATCGTTAAGCAGGGAGAAAACGTTTCCCTGGTTATCACTAGCAACCAGAATCCTAGTGTGAGAAGCCGAGCCGGCTGCACAAAGCAGAACAGCCCTCACCAAAAGGAGGAGGCCGAAGAGCTCCAAGGCCGCTATCGCCCGCTGCGGGTCCCCAGTAGTGAAGGCCCACGGCTCGCCCTCCGGTGTGATTCTGTGTTGGAACCACTTCACTCGGGACTTGTCGGGGTTGGGCACGTCCGAGCACCAACCAACCCATGCATGGTCCGCCTGTTTGCCAGCTCCCGCATCAGATGCCCCCGTCCATGGAAGTGTGGGAGCAAATGGAGATGCCAGTGGGAACCTCTGGTTGAAGAGCTTCCCCAGAAGGATGGCCAGAGCACGAACCAGCTTCGGTGGCCTGCCCGAAGTGGTGCAGGCCTTCTTCCAGCTCCAAAAGGGCTGGAGGAAAGGTTTCGTCAATGGACACGCCGAAGTAGCCCATTGAATCCGGCCCAGGGCTTGTTCCACCTCCTTGCTGGTAAAGATGTCCCCCTGGGCCAGCCGTTTGAGAGTGGCCAGGATTATGACGTGCTTGACTGGAGCCAGCAGCACACAGGGCGTGATTGGGTCCACCACGAATCCCAACCAGGTATTGACCGGGGAGAGCGCCGTCTTCTTCCAAGAAAGCGGGACTCCCAGCGCCAGAAGAGTGGCCAGGATGGCTGTGGCGTCCCAGTCCGCCCTGCTGCATCTGAGGACCCAGCAGTAGTCGTCCACAAAGACTAAGTGCCAGTCCACCTGAGGGAAGATGTAGTACAAGAGTCTGAGCACCAAGGATGCCTTTCTTCCCCAGTACAGTTGTGCCGAGGCCATGCCGTACGTGCCCACTCTATTGACCCACCACCGGTTCTGGATGCAGGCCACCTGGTATTTCCAGTCTTTCTGGAGCACTTTTATGCGCCTGTGGGCCTTGGTGACATCCGCCTTGAGGATGATGAAGGTTTCCCCCTGTGTCGGCGGCTGCCACGTCAGGGGTTCCCCCCTGCTCCCCCCAGGGCGTTCCGTGCCTGGGGGGGTTGGGGGGAATGGGGCCCTCCTATCAGGGCCCTCGGCACCTGGGAGTGGCCCCTTCCCTGAGGGTGTTGACCGCGGAGAGACGTCCAGGCCGCCAGAGGTCTCCATCATCCGCCTGCCCCTATCAGGGCCCTCGGCACCTGGGGGCAGGCTGGTGCTGTGGGGGTCCCTCTCAGGGCCCTCAGCACCTGGGGACTGCCCCTGCACCGGCTGGTGAACATCCCGAGGTTCCTCATCAGTGCCCGAGGATGGGGCTCGGAGTAGATGAGGATGGTCCGCCGCTGTCCTGAGCCAGTGGATGGCATGGAGGCAGTCTCCAACCATCGGTGCGGTGGTCTTCTCCTCCGTGTGAGCCTGGATGTGTGCGTTTGCTCCCCCTTTTGAGCCATCATAGATCGTCCTGATCTTGTCCGACTCATCAATCCCTGCAAGGGGGCCCGGGCAAAGTTCCTCCGGTTTGCAGCGGCACCTCTCTGCCGCCTCGGAGCGAGTGAAGGGCCCGTCCACCATGTCCAAGGCTCGTTCCTCGTAAAAGGTTGATTCGATTTCCTTGGCAAAGAGTTCAGCCGTTGGGTAGTTATCATGAGCCACTGGCGGGGGGGGATCTTCCCCCAGCCAGGCTTCTCCCTTAAGCTCCTCCTTAGTGGGCCAAACTCCCGGGGAGGTCAAGGTAGGGTCCGAGACTCCCAAGGGGACCCCCTCTTTCAGTGTTAGGGGGAACTCCCAATCAGGGTCACCTGAAAGGGATGCCAAGTGCGACACTAAGTCCAGGAGGAAGGGTTGTCCTGGGCATCGTTCATGGAGGTGCCTCGGTCCTAGGATAGCCCGCAGCTCCTCGAGGTCGGCTTCCTGGAAGGGGTGTGTGGTGGCACCTGATGCCAGGGACATTCGGACCTTGTCAATCCAGGGCCGGGTAAGGGTCATGATCAGGGCGCCCAAAGTAGCCAATGGGGAAATTCTCCGAAAAGGGTTGAGCCTCCCTGGGGAAGGTTTTCCCCCCCCATCCCTCAGGGGGCGTGAGCGGAAACCCAATTGGACAATCGCCACCCGGTCAGTGAGGTGTGGGACCCTGAAAGCGGGCAGGCATTCGGGGCGGTCCAGGACCTGGTCCCCCTGTCCCTCCTTCCCCAGTTGTTCCGCATCTCCGGCCATCGGGGGCATGGGAGATGGGAAGTCTGGGTTCATTGTTCCACGAGGGCTTACGGTGTCTGCCTCAGGGTGGAACTGCCCGTGCAGGCGGGGCTTCGGGGCGTTCTTGCCTCCGGGCTTTGAGCCCTGGTGTGATGAGGAGGGACCGCCTCCTTGACTGGGCCCCCGTTTTCCCCGGGGGGAATGGCCTTCCGGGGGGTCCGACCCCCGCCCCTTAGGTGGTTCCTTGGGGTTTCCCGGAAATTGTGAGGGGATCCGGATGTGCCCCGGCGCTGCGAGTGACACAGCGATGGCTTTGGCCAGGCCTGCCATCATATCCCAAGGGTATCTGCTAAGAGTCGAGGACTCGTTGGTGTGGAAGGCCCCAAAGTGTCTCTGGAGTGCGCCCTCGCACGGTGGGAGCCCCCGGTTTTGGTATGTGGCGCAGGATGGACCATGTCCTGCAGTTGGGTCCTCCTCCAATGAAGACCACTCGGCCCTGCTTTGCTGCCGTGCAAAGAGCTCCATACAGCTCGGGTTGGAGCATATCGTGGTCCCCTTTTGGTCCAGACCGTAGGATGTCTACCGCCACCACCATGCTGGAAAGGTGTGGGTAGTTGGCATGAAGACAGCTGTCCAAGGAAGTTGGGTCTTCCTTGCCTGCATAGAGCAGGACAATGATGGGCCCACTGGATGGAACTTTGGGCGATGTGCCCTGTGTCCATCTCAGCCGCTGTACCAGACGCTCAGGGATGTTCTCCATCCACGGGAAGATGTCCAATCCCGGTGACGGCTCCGTTGGACTTGTCAGGGGGGTAGCTGAAAGGCGTTGGCCCCCTTCATTCAGCCCCACCGAGCTCTTGTGGAAAACCACCGGGTCCTGCTTGATGATGTTGGGCGCCGGAAGTGGGATCGGCTGCTTCCTGGGAGTGTCCCTTGGCGTTGCGGTGTGCTGCCAGTCATCCGGCACTCGGGCCTTCTGGGTGCGGCCCCCCGTGTCAGGGCCCTCGGCACCTGCGGGGAACCGTCCCGTCCCCGCCATATCAGGGCCCTCGGCACCTGTGGCTCGGGACTGAGGCGCCGCCGTTGTGCCGGTTGTGTGGCTGTTCTGATCACGGCGAGGGCGTTGTGCACGCTGGTTCTGCCGTCCCCATCCTTGTTCCGCCGAGGATGGCCGCCACCTGGCCTGTCCCCCCCCTGTGTCAGGGCCCTCGGCACCTGCAGGAGGGGGCTTCTGTGCCTGCTTGGGGCGTTTGCGCCCCTTCTCGCCCCCCCGGGCCTTATCAGGGCCCTCGGCACCTGAGGCCTCCCGGGGGGTAGGGGTCAGCGCCCCTAGTCAACCCGGGCAGTCCTGCGGGAGGTGGTCCCCCAGGCAGATGCGGCCCATTGCCAGGATGAGGTTGCACTTGTGGGTGCGGCCGCAGTTGCCCGGGCAGCGCCCGCGCATCCAGTTGTTACAGAACTGGTTCCCTTTCGGGTCGGTGGCTGCCTGCTTGTTACCGCCCTTGCCCTTGGACTTGTTCTTGCCCTTCTGAGGTGGTGCGTAGTCCATGGATGTCCTGGTTGATGGGCGGCCCCTGGAAAAGGTCTTGATCTTCTCATAGACCTCACGTGTCCAGAACAATGTGTCCTGCCTGACCGACAGCATGGCCGCCTTGAGGGTGTTGCCCTCATGCATCTTCTCGTGAATCTTTCGCCATGCGTTGCGTTCGGCAATTGCCAGGACGTGGTCCTCTGGCGGGGGAAAACGGCCCCCGATGTCCTCACCATAGAACCACTCGTACCAGCTCTCCAAGTCCTCCCGGGTGATGTCGAACTGGCCGAACTGCGGGAACGAGAGGACGCACATGAGGAGGGTGTTGCGGAACACCGCGTGCATCCTCTCGAGCTGGTGGCGAGTTTTGGGCTCGCCCCGCTCTTCCACCTCATCCTCCCGGTCCCAGCCATCAACCGTGCTCTTCTTAGTGGTCTTCCATGGCCGTTCTCCTGGCTCCGGGAGTGCGCTTACCAGGTATTTCATGGGGATGAAACCGATCTCGCCTCCTGCGCAGAGCTTGAACTGGCGCTTCACCAGCTGGTCGCTTCCTTGAAGGGCCAGCTTGGGTTTGGTGAGCTTGGTCTTCTCCTCCCAAACCCTCTCCAGCTGTCCCCGTTCGCACGAGACCGTGAGATTCGGGGCGGTGTCCCCGGGCGTGTGTGGCCCGGGTCCCGCTGTTGCATGCGCCCCAACTCCCATGGATCGTTGAGCCGCGTGAACCACC